CCTGCTTGTGAGGCATTGTGCGGAGCCCTGTTGCCAGGCAGCCACCCTCTTGACCCAGCGGAGCACTACCTACTCAAGACTCTTGATAAATGCCTTCGTGTTGATCCTGGGGACCTGTGGGAAGATGAATGGGGACATAATATCGCCATAACAAGTAATCACTCCAAAGACCTTCGTAATCACCATAAGACTCATCCAGTTATTTCCGAATCGTCTGTACTTGTCTTCAGATTGACTCCCAAACGCACTAAAATGTTCGTATTGGAACTTCCGGTGCGAATGCCAAGAAGCACAGAATGCTGTTAGAAAATATATGTCAGAGTAAATTGCTTCATGGTGCTCTTTTTTTCTCACAGACGGTGCCCAACTGACCCTACTATACTGTGCAGTCGACAAAATCAAAAACAAACAACGCGCATGCGTGAAATTAAAAATATAGGTGACAATTTACCCATCGCACCCTTTATATATATATATATATATATATATTATAAATTAATTGATTTAAAATATGGTTATTTTCGCTACACAGTTCCAACCATGTTTCAAAAATAGAAGCTAAAAACCCCTAATTTTATTTTTGCAAATAAATTAAAAGCATTAGTTCCATTTCATCTTCAAGCGAATTTTGTAAAAATAAAATATCTATAAGAACACCGGATTTTATATCTTACTGTTCTTTTTTTATATATATATATATATATATATATATATATATATGTAGTAAGATAAAGAACAAATATGAAAGCGTTTATCAATCTAACATATTTCACTTTTATTAAAGCTTCATGAGAGAATGACATATGGTGAAAAAGAAGAAAGAAATTTTTATTTTTCTTGTTTAATTTTCATTGGTTAGTCAGGTTTTATGTGCATTCGACTTCTTAAACTAACGTTAGTGTAATTTCTAGCGTTCCGAATTCAAGGAGAGACGATTCATGCCTTCGAATTTCCAAGAAAGCCTAACTGAAAAAAAACTTAAATATTGATTGATGCGTGTAACTCTATAATAATTCTAGTTTGTTTATGTTGGATTCAGATAATAACGTATATCCGTATGTGTGTGTACGTGTATATGTATGTGTTCATAGGAATTCTGGTGTATGGTAATTTTTTTACACGTTGATTTTTAAGGACCGTTTTTTATTTTTTTTAGATAAACGTACGTTAGATTCTTTAGGAATGGATTCAGTAAAGAGTTATGATGTAATACAGTGTAACCCGGATATAAGAGAGTTGTCGGGACCGGAGAAGAAGTCTCTTATATCCGGGTTTCTCTTATATCCGGGTTTGGTCTATTTTATATATATTAACACAGGCTCTAATTTGGGACCAGAGAAAATCTCTCTTATATCCGGGTTTCTCTTATATCCGGGTCTCTTATATCCGGGTCTCTTATATCCGAGTTACACTGTATATATATATATATAGAGAGAGAGAGAAAGAGAAGGAGTTACTCCACTTGATATGTGTCTTACTTTTGAATCCAACTTTAAATTTTAATAATTTAATTTTTTTTTTTAAATTCTTTCGTCTTTTAAGAATTTCAATGATACAATGTAACCCGGATATAAGAGAGTTGTCGGGGCCGGAGAAGAAGTCTCTTATATCCGGGTTTCTCTTATATCCGGGTTTGGTCTATTTTATATACATTAACACAGGCTCTAATTTGGGACCAGAGAAAATCTCTCTTGTATCCGGGTTTCTCTTATATCCGGGTCTCTTATATCCGGGTTACAATGTATTATGTTTTTGACGTGTGTTTATAGTTTGCAATAGATTTATTAGTAATCCCTCGAAGTAATTTCAACGTAAAGATTTATGTTCTTTTATTTTAATTAGAGTGGCATTTTTAAAATCAAAGTTATGGCTAGTTTTGTTGCTATGTATTATGAGCAAGTTAAACTGGTTGCCCCAACGTAGGGCTTTCTTATGTTCGTAGTTGCGGGCTTTTAGATTCATAGATAGTTCGGCTATATAACTTTTTTCTACATAACTAGTAATCACACTATCTATTTTTTTTCCTAACTATATGTTGATTGTCTTAGCGGTCATGGTACAAGATTCTCGTGTTGGGGATAATTAATTCATTTTCAAATTTTGTTGATAAAGTGTTAGAAGGTAGATTTATATATTTTGTGTTTTTTCTTTTTGGAAGTACCTATGTCGTGCTGGCGGTGTCTGCATTTTTGGATATGCGGACTTTGTATGTTCGATTCTTTGTATGTAGATAATGAAGAAGTTTAAGTGATTTTTCAATGCGTTTCTCTTCTTTATCAAGATATTCTGGACTATATTGATATTTTTTCAATTACTTTCCAATCATTATCAATAATCGATGTGGTGTCTGTGTGGTAGTTTTAACTCTTTGTTTGCTTTTTGGTATTCATTAGGTACCTGGTAATATATATATATATATATATATATATATATATATATATATATATATATATATATATATTATTATTATTATTATTACTATTATTATCATTTAATTAGATACTTAATTCACGATGTTGTGGAAGAGGCAATCGAAATTACTATGGTATATAACGAGGAAAGAAGGCTTGGAAAACTTGACACACAGATATTGAAAGAAAGATTAAGTGGGGGAAAGCATCGTATAATCTATCTAATGTGCTTTTGTAAATTGTTGGCAGAACAGGGACTAGGAAGGATAGAAAAAAAAATAAAGAAAAAACAAAAATAAACCCTACTCAGGGTTATTAAAGAAAGCAACTGGATGAGGGCCATGATCCTTCGCATTTTTGGATATGTGGACTTTGTATGTTCGCTTTCTAGTCTTAGCGATGAAATTATGTAGATAATGAAGAAGTTTAAGTGATTTTTCAATGCGTTTCTCTTCTTTATCAAGATATTCTGGACTATTTTGATATTTTTTCAAGTACTTTCCAATCATTATCAATAATCGATGTGGTGTCTGTGTGTTAGTTTTAACTCTTTGTTTGCATTTTGCTATTCATTAGGTGCCTGGTAATATATATATATATATATATATATATATATATTCTATAATTAAATACTTAATTTCTAGGGTATATAACGAGGAAAGAAGGCTTGGGAAACTTGACACTAACATATTAAAAGAAAGATTAAGTGGGGAAAAGCATCGTATAATCTACCTAATGTGCTATTTTGTAAATTGTTGGCAGAACAGGGACTAGTAAGGATAGCAAAAAAAAAAAAAAAAGAAAAAACGAAAATAAACCCTACTCAGGGTTATTAAAGAAAGCAACCGGTTGAGGGCCATGATCGTTCGCATCGTGAAGGGACAAGGAACATAGAAAGAAGAAGAAGAAGAAGAAGAAGAAGAAGAAGAAGAAGAAGAAGAAGAGGAAGAAGAAGAAGAAGAAGAAGAGGTGGAGGGAAAGACGAACTTTGGATCAACGTCGTTTTGTTATCTGGGTATTAAATTGTAACAAAAGATCTAAAAAATTTAAAAAAAAAACCAGCAAAAGCAATTGTATGGTGATTTTATCAGCGTAGCTTAGATGTGACACAAGGCCGAAAATATGGAGCACCCAATGAGGAGCAAACTCACTATTCAGTCGTAATTGAACAAAAGTGATTGTAAATTTTAACACCTACAAAACAAAACTGCTTTCATTTATCCACCCAAGGGAACCTTATGTTTCTGCCAAAAGCGTGGCTGATGCTAGACTCCAGGAGAGCAACACACTGTGACTTCTTGGCCTCACGTTTTCCAATGACATGAAGTGAAGCGACTTCATTGAATCAATAGCTGTATCTACTGCAAGGAGATTTGGATCACTACGTCGTGATAGAAAATTTTTCTCGTCGTGTATCGAATACCGTTGCCATATCTGGTCTGGTCCTCCTGTGATTCTTGACAAAATCGAAAGAAGAAAGACCTGTAAATAATCCTCATCAGGTATCACGACTTCAGACACTTTCTCGCCGACGTGACGTGGCTTCCCTCTGTCCTTTCTACTAATATTCCATGGCAGCTTCTCTGATGAGCTTTTTTCTCCCTGGTTCCCCGACTGCATGAATTTGAGCGCGATACTAGATTGTTATCTAGGTCACACCGTTTTACTTTAGAACTAGCTAGATGCAAACGCCACTTCTACTCTAAATGCTCCTTTACTGAGACTTCACACTTGTGGAACTCCCTCAATTTCTTACTTCCCTGAAAAATACAATCATCAAAAATTTAAATGTTACGTCGATCGCCATCTTCTGTTTTCTTCATCATTTGTCCTCTCCTCAATCCTCTCTATTCCCTGTTTTCTCTTTCACTTTCACTCTCTGTAACTCCATGTATTCCAGCCTTGCAATTATTTAAAAAAGAAAAAAAATGTACCTAATTAAAATTTAGAAAATTTAGAAAATTTTTAATAAGATCTGTATAACAACCAAACTACTTCATCTGAGATTATGAAAACAATTCAATTAGATAAAAGTCCATAGCTGCTATATATTTTTATTTTTTTTTCTTGGCTATGGAGGAGATAATTGTAGTATCGATGAAAGAAACGATGCCATCGAAAGGTTGGTTAACTCTTTGTACTTTCGGAAATGAGGCTTTGAAATAATACTTAGCATTTGAGAGCAGTAGAAATATCAGAACCATTTATTCCCGCCTACTAAAAAAAAAAAAAATAATAATTTGAATAAACAGAAAAGAGAAGTGAAGAAGATACAAACACGAACAATATCATCAAATCTTCAATCCCTCTTCTAAAAAAAGAAATAAAAACAAGCATGAATGCATAATTAGTTAAAACGAAAACATAGTCATTCGTTTGATGCTTAGCATCATAAAATCTAAAATACCAATTTCCGGAAACAAGTTACAAATCAAAAAATTACCGAAAAATCGTGAAATTCAGGAACGGAAAAGAAATCAACAACGAACCGATAATTACACATTATTTTCCATTGAGTCGAAAATCTCAAAGAATTCAGATGGAAATCTCTACACAACCTTCGCAATTATTCCAATATTCCTTCAATAAATGCGTATAGAAATCAAGAAAGGGCGAAAATCGATATCGTTTTTAAGGGATGCTTTTTTCTTTGTTATTATTCTGACATTGGAGCGTCACGAATTGTAATTGGATTGAAGGCAAGACATCGTCAATAATGTTATTTGAATTATTGGCAGACGATACAATAATATTATTATTCAAGTGAAATTTATTTATTTTTTTCTTTCTTTCTTTCTTTTTTTCTTTCATTCTTTCTTTCTTTCATTCTTTCTTTCTTTTTTCTTTTTCTTTCTCTTTCTTTCTTTCTTTTTCTTTCTCCTTCTTTCTTTCTTTCTTTCTTTCTTTCGTTCTTTCTTTCTTTCTTTCTTTTTTTCTTTTTCTTTCTCTTTCTTTCTTTCTTTTTCTCTCTCCTTCTTTCTTTCTTTCTTTCTTTCTTTCTCCTTCTTTCTTTCTTTCTTCCTTTCTTTCTTTCATTCTTTCTTTCTTTCATTCATTCTTTCTTCCTTTCTTTCATTCTTTCATTCTTTTTTCTTTTTCTTTCTCTTTCTTTCTTTCTTTCTTTCTTTTATTTGTTCATTGATTTTCTTCACTCTTTATTTAATTCTTTCGAACTCTAATATTTTCCTTTGTTTTCTATTTCATTTCCCCTTTCTTTTCTTCCCACCTTTCCCTTCTAAAGATATTTCAATACTTAGCTGAGTTTAGCCCCAAAATGAAGATTGTACTGCACCAGTTATCCAAGTAAAATTGACTTACCTCTTTCATAAATCAACATTCGAAATACTCTCTTCTTACTTGGACACTAACCCCGATTAGTACCAACGGTACGAAATACGCAACTACTTCAGCCTAGCGGTATGCTCTAGATATTTACAATTCCTAGCTAAGTCACTTGAAAGACCACTTAAAAAGAAATAATTCTAGAAAGAATGTGTTGCGCCAAACGTTCATGTCGTTAAATGTCATTATTCAAATTTTGGCACCGGCAAAATATCTGAAACTATCTTGGTTACTATGGAAGTTTCTCTCATTACTTACATATTCGATATTACTCCTAAAATTTAGTTCATTAGTCCGTAACCTAATGATGAAGGTCGCATTTATTTTATATAACATAATCTTTCAACATAATCTCATTCCTTGCCAATACAGTTTAGTAGTTATAATATTCACCCAGATCGATCATTTCACAGCGAAATTGTTTCTGCTACGATCAGGTTACGAACTTATTGATGCAAACTTGAATATATTATTTTTTTATTTATTTTTACACTTGTTTTGTCTTCGCTTTTGATTTTTATATATTTTGGCGTTTTTATTTGTTCATTTTGTAATCTTTTTTTTTTCTTTCTTTCACTCGTGTTTTAGTTATATCTTTCTTTCACTTTCTTTTTCTTTCATTCAAAGTTTCTTTCGTTTTCTCTTCCAGTTTCTCTTTCTTTCTCGTCTCTTTATCTCTTTTGTAGCCAAAATGCCTTTGTTTTGCCTTTGTTTATCATGTAACCCCGCTTCTTTATTTATTTTTTTTGTTTCATTTGAATCCGTTTATTCAAGAAGAAAAAAAATAAAATAAACGTTCAATTTACATTATGGCCTCTCTTTGGGCCATTATTCTAATGAACAGTCATTTTGTTATGGGCAGAGAATATTATTCATCGTGAAAATTCACTTTAATGATATTGGCTTATTGATTAAATGTTCGCAATTAGTAATCAGGGAAAATTGGTTCATTTCTGTTTGGGTTCATCCAGCGGTGCCAAAAATATCAATGAAAAGATCGAAATAAATTGATCCATTATAATATTGAAAGTTTTGCTGGACATTCGACAAAAATTATAAGCAACTGGTTGTCAACACATTCAAAATCGAACACAGAGGCTTACTTTTTTAAAGATTGGTTAAGAATAAAAGAAATATAAGAAAAAGGGCATTCTTGGAAAAGTATTCAGGTAGTTTTTTGGGGCAGTTAGTGATTCTTAAAGGCTTTTTATGCATGGCTGCAATATTGTGAGGTGTTAGATTAAAATAGATGAAAGACATGAAATATCGCTATATTTATTTTACATTTTTTAAAGAATGTTTTCTGGCTTTCAACACAGGTTTTCAAACAAGAATTTCAACTCCGAAGTTTTTGTGTATCATCGTAATTGTTTCTGGAACAAGTTTCCCATTACATCACGCTCATCAGGGCTTCCATTATAGGGTTGCCAATTGTCTTCTAATTGATAGTCTTTTATTCCCCACTGTTTTTGGCCATTGGTGAATATGAATGGTATAAAAAGAGTCAGTTTCAGTTATATTATTTATCTATAGCAGTGATTTCCAAAGTGAACGATTCTGTCCCTCCTGGAGGAGGTTGAAAGATCCAGAGGGGCGATGAGAAAAATTACACCGCTTCAAGGTAGCAGTGTCACATCTGAACCATAACACACACAAACACACACACACACTGTACCTGAAGTGTATGCCGTCACTTTACAGGGTATACCATTTATATAACAATTATTGTGGGGAATACTAAGATACTCGTTTGACATGCAATACTAGCATCAAGAAAATCTAAACAAAGGTTGACTATACATTTAGAGGAGTACGGTTCTGTCTATGCATTTAGAGCGGGTATTAGGCTTGTGTTTTGCTACGCAGGGGTTGCGACAACCCAAATAAGTTTAGGGACCACTGATCTACAGAATTTAAATTTAAAATTAATATTTATATTTTTTCTGTGTAATCTCACAATAAATTTGAAAAAAAAAGTTTGTCAAATTGTAATAAACTTGCAACGGAGTTTGTTAGATTAAATTCATTTCGAATTTCTCTTCGTTTTAACATCTCAAACTCTTATTACACATAATCAACATCAATATCATCAGTACCACGAGCTGTTGTGGTCGAAGGGTTGTTGCGCACCTGAACACCAGAGGAGTTGTATTTTGGCGATGTATTCATTCATATGTAATGTGTATGAACAGACCGAGCGGATCTCACCCTCCTCCAATTTAAACCATAACCAATGTCCTGCAACCTAAATGCTCTCTTTGAGCATGCACACATAGCCGTTGGTTACATTGGTGAAACTTTTTGCCCTGAATTCAGCGATGTCATCAACACACTTTCTGCCTGCATAGCTCTGGAGCCCAGTCTGCCTTATTGTGGTAAATGGTTGTTGACCCTCCAAAAATGTTCATCCACTTTTTGAAAGATACTGTTTTTTTTTTAATGCTACTGATAACTAGCGCCACTTTTCAAGTGAAAAGCGTTGTGAGGAAACCAATTTAATCATGTCCGGTGCGTACTACCCCCGAACACCACAGCCGCCTGGCACAAATCTGATTGAGAGCACCAGGCAGTGCTTTCTAACGCTCTCTCCCTTATCAACATTTGCTTTTTTTATCTACATCTGTATGCATTATAAATTAAACTACGTACAACTGACAATTAAAGAAGGAAATATTTTCGCGGATTTTGACTTTATTTTGAGGTCATTTTTCTCGTTCAAATCCGTGAATTGGTTTTGTTCATGCCATGTCTCGAGATAACGCTACATAAAATTCATTATTTTTTTTTATCCATAATGTTGAAAGAGTTAAAATCATACAAATTTTAACAAGAAATATATTGCCGCAAAACATTGTTAATTTAAGACTAGCAGCCACACCCAGCTGGTCGATCAGAAAAAAAGCGTTCAATTAGAATGGAGCAAAAACAGTATTATGTATAGATGTAACAAAGTCTATCTTCTTCAATACTGTCATTCCAAAAAATTGAATCAATGCATTTACTGATATAACAGAAGTAGTCTGTATTTATTCAATCGAAGTTAGCCAAGAACATGAAGTGGTAAATCAGACAAAAAAAAAAAAAAAAAAAAACACTTCAGTCTACAATTATTTTGGAGTTTTTGAAATTCAGTTTGTCAGTTTGCTACCAGAGACGCAAAAGAGGATATATCTATAAAGCAATTTTTAAGTCAAAATTGTTTGAATGATCAAGGAAAAATTAAAATGAAACCAGTAAAAATCGACATTTTTCGCTATTTACGCGTGTTTTCACTATATGGGTAGACTCAATTATCAATTTAAATGACTGTTATACTATCAACTTTTCGCGTTTTTTCGCTAAACGCAGTGGCGTAGAAATAAAATGAGTTATCGTCATAATGTAAGTAACCTACATACCGAATTTGAACGAAATAGCAGGAAAAAAGGTAAATTTATCAATATTTGATCGGTTTTATCGATTAGTGATTTTAAAAAAAATAACAATTTTTTACACTAAGAACCCATCTCTTACATTGTACAATGTATGTGCGAAGTTTGGTCGAAATCGGTTTGATAAATCTCGGGTGAAAAGGTATCAAACAAACAGACACACAGGCATTCTCTTTTTATATCTATATAGATAGAATGATCATTTTTTTATTTACCGTTTATACTCGCGTATTATGCGATTTTTAAATAATTTTGAATGTAATTTTGAGAGGGTCGCATCATGCATGAGATATAAAATTAGAGAATGTACAGTTGACGCTGGCTACGCCGTTGACCAAACTATAAATCTATTCACTGTAGTCAAATTAGCTAGAAAATTAGGTTGTCAAAGGTCACATGATATGCTTGTATATACGGTAGAGACATTGCATTTATTTTCAATTTTTCAAGTTGAAGCCTTCACTTGTATCGAATATAATCTATTATTGTATATAATTATATTGAAATCATACTTATTATAAAACCCAGGTTGTGTGTGTGTGTGTGTCTGTTCGTTTATATATGGGATCGGATTTCCTACATTTTTCAACCGATTTCAACAAAACTTCACTTTTTTTTGCAGGTAGTGTTTCTTATTGTATTGCACACTTTTTTTCTTTATTTTTACATTTAGAATGCTTTAAAAATTCCATTTACAAGACAATTGTTTATAATAAAATTCTATTCAATCGGTAGACTCATAACGATTGAAAACAATGTTTTTGTTTGAGTTTGGTTTGACCAATTCGTAAAAAAACAAAAAAATAATTAAGACATGCGTGTCCGTCAACCTTAAACAATAATCTTTGTCAATTTTATTTTTTCAGTCTTTATGATGGTCGATACTTGATCTATCTTTTACTGTTACATCCCAGGGCAACGCCGGGCTCTACTGCTAGTATTTTATATGAATAATACCTTATGAAAATTGTGATGTAAAAGGAGGAGCTTATCGTAGATTTCTTGCACCGGCCCTGCAGTGGGTAGTTCTAGGTTACATGCCACCAGTAGCCCTCGTATAGGGAGTTGAGATTTATTTACAGTAAGGTACACAATGTACAATATCCGGGAGCCATTCGATATAGTGTTACGTTAAGGGGTATTTTTTTATGGATAGGAGGTCGAGATAACGGTTAACTTGAACAGGTCATATTTTCGTGATCGTGGAGACATCCACTTGGGAGTCTGCTCCATAGAGCAGTGGTTCGCGGAAAGATGTTGTTCAAATGGAACTTGCTTCACAGCGTTGGGATACGGAGAGAATGTGAGTGGTTTGTTACAATGTAAGTGAGGTTACGGCTCCTAGCCGTTCATGTCAGACCTGGCGAAACCAAGGAATGTAGTTCGTGCGACGATCACTTTCCATGGAACGAGCGATAGAACAGTGAGGGGCTTGCCACATTCTGCCCGTGAAATATATATATATATATATATATATATATATATATATATATATATATATATATATATATATATATATATATATATATATATATATATATATATATATATATATATATATAGAGAGAGAGAGAGAGAGAGAGAGAGAGAAAATTATAGCCTCCATCATAAGGTTATTTACTTGTATTCAATTTTAGAAGAAATCGTTAAGCAACCCATAATTAATCCTAGCAATTCCTTGTTTTTCTACATTCTTATCAAGTTGGATTTTGTTAAGGCTTAACGAAAAAATAAAAAATAAAACTTCTGATTTAAAAAGGGCGCTTCGTATTGCGGTAATGGTTACTGAGCTAATCTGATTAGCCATTATTATTGAATAGTGAGGTTGATCGTTACTGGGTTCCTAATACTTATGGCCTAGTATAAAAAAATAGTCTAAGCTTAATACAAATTAATATATTCCACAAATACCTCCCACACTATGGTAAGACATTAGCGATATGAAAACCCCATTGCCACTTGTCTAAGTTTATTAGTACTAAAGAGGTGACAGATTAAAATGTAGGAGGTATTTCTGCCGCATTTATTTTTTTTTAAGTAAATCGTCCCACGCAAGGCAGAAATGCCACTAACACACAAGAGGTTACAGAGAGTGAGAATAAGTTAAAGAGGAGTGTTTGGGAAAAGGATAAAGTGAAGGACAGGGCTCAAGGTCAAGGCATCAGAAGATGCCGATTGACATTACATTTGGATATTTGAAGATTATAGCTATCAGGGATGGAAATGATAGAAAGCGAGTTCTACTGACGGGAGGTGCGAGTTAAGAAGCTGTTGGAGTAGAAGTGATGGCTATATTTAACCGTTTCGACAATGAAAGGGTGGAACCGATACGCCAACCTAGTAGCACGCTTAAATTCATGCAATTTGGGAACCAATGGTAGCAGCTCGTTGGAGCAGTTGCCATGAAAGTACTTGCAGGAAATACAGAGAGAAGCCAGAACACGTCACTGAGAGCGCGAAGGCAGACGGGTTCAGGACCAAACACGTTGCATATCCGTCTCTGGATTTTGTCTAGGACCACGAGATGAACAGCATCTCGTATTTTATAGGCCATTCGGCGTGCGGTAAAGATTTTCTTGCTAGTTTGGTTAGTCATTAATTGTGATCTATGAGTTCAAACGCCACTGCATGCCTAGCAATTGTAGTCTTGTATCGAAATAAAAATTTTTGTCGGAATTTTCTAGATGAACCATTATTGTTATTATATACTTCGCTGTGGATGTGCAGGTGGTGCTATGGTTAGCCCCTGAGAGTGACAAATTTCGCTACATTTACTTATGCGAAAATAGCCTTGGGAGAGATATAAATCCATCATTTCTCCCCTCCCCATCTATGGGTTAAATAGTAAGGAAGCTGGGCCTTCTAGCCTTCGTTGGTAGCCAGTCTAGGACAAGGATATCTCTGAATTCTGAACCGTATGTAGCCCTCGCGTAGCATCTGCTATGCAACCATCTTCAAAATTCTGCCTTTCACAACGATAATAATCTCAACTGCGGACAATGCAAAATTGCTTCGATGTGCTGTTAGCAAATCGTAACAAACATACAGTAGAAGGTGTGTTACAAAGACGGCTCTTTTTCTCAACACAGATATTGCTTATTACTCTCTTGGCAGTTTTTTTATTATTATTATTATTATTATTTTATAAAGTTATTTTTAGAATTTTAATAAAAACCCAAATATACGAAACTGGATTTATACATTTTCTTATTTTCTCACGAATTGAGAGCAGAAATATTAAACAACATTTATTTATTAGATTGTATATTTCCAAGGTTATAAAAAATACGTGAAGCAACTTCAATTTAATAAAGAAAATAAACTACGAAAACCATTCATAAATCTATAAAAACAAAAAATCTGCTGACTCTAATATCAGAATAATTTAAATTTATTTAAATGACAAGTAACTGTAATTATAAGCTTAGAAAAAAACTATTTTCCGGATATTACCATATATACTCGTGTATAATGCGAGTGTTTATGATCAGTTTTTTAAGGAAAAAAGTGAAAACCGTTTTTTGAAGAGGTTAAAAATCATACATTTTTTTTTAGTAACCAGTTGCACTATACACAGGTAAATCTTTCTGGAGTGGTTAAAATTCATGTCCCAAAATTTAGCGGTTGCGCTAAACATGATCGACTTATACACGAGTATATACGGTATATATTTTAACATATTGTTTTAAATAGGGATCTCCACAGAAAAAGCGACACCTAAGGTTTAAAATGATTTTTTTTAAATGTTAAATGTTCAATTCTATCTATCTATCTAGCTAGCTATCAATCTATCTATCTCAATCTGTCCAAATCTATCTTAATCTGTTCAAATCTATAGACCTCTGTTCAAATTTATCTATCTATCTATCTATCTATCTATCTATCTATCTATCTATCTATCTATCTATCGAGCTCAATCTGTTTAATTCTATCTCCATCTATCTATCTATCTATCTATCTATCTATCTATCTATCTATCTATCTATCTATCTATCTATCTAGCTCAATCTGTTTAATTCTATCTCCATCTGTTCAAATCTATCTATCTATCTATCTATCTATCTATCTATCTATCTATCTATCTATCTATCTATCTATCTATATCTATCTATTCCTGTTTGCTTATAATACAAATTGATTGCATGACTTCACAGAAGAACCGTGACTGTGAACATCTAAAAAGAAATGTGCCTACTTCTCTTAGGAAATAGCCAGAAATGCCCTGCGGATTTTTACAAAAAAATCTCTTCTATTTCATTTCCAGCTTAAGTAATCTGATCAAAGAAATCGGAGGTGATAAGTAAAGTCTTTGGGATCTAGGGCAGTTTAAATCAACACAAAAAGAAAAAAAAGAACATTATTATTGTTATTATTATTATTATTATTATTATTATTATTAAGAGTAGTAGTAGTAGTAACATTAATAATATTGTTTGAGTCATGTCATCTTCATAAAAGATGTCTGGTTGTTCTCACTGGAAATTAAGTGACAACTTTCCAGCACTTTTCACGGTAGCCTCAATCATATTTTGACTCGTATTGATTTTTGTGTTAAACACCAGCAGCAACTGGTGACATTGACTGGAGGTCAAGTGACAGCAAGTTTCCGACATCCTCCTGAAATCTCTTGAGCACTGTAGATGATTTTATGATTGTTCTTGCTCGGGTTATTCTCGATCCTTCCCCAGATCTTCAGGCCTTGCAACATCTTCGCTATTCGATATCTTTCCCAGACACGACTCTTTGTAAACGCTACTTTAGTGTTCGATATTTTTCTCAGTTCTCTAGCAAGGTCGTGGTATTCTATCTGTAGTGACGGATTATGTATTTCTATACAAACAGCATTTGATATATTCACTTATCTTAGGCTTCAACCTTTTCTCTTCAGAGGCGCTGACATTTAGTTTTATCTCTTCTTTTTTTTGCTGTACTGACGTTTACCATTACGCTATTATTATTATTATTATTATTATTATTATTATTATTATTATTTATTTATTTATTTATTTATTTCCTTTGATTTCTGGTGTGCATACATTTCTTCCGGGTCCCACCCAGTGACATAAGGTTACAAATGGCATCATGACATTTTCCACTGGCCAATTAAAAAAACTTATTTTACATATATAAAGCTCTTCGTAAGGTGTGGGCTGTACTCGTGAGAATAATTATTATCATCATCATTATTATTATTATTATTATTATTATTATTATTAATATTAATAATAATAATAATAATAACAGAAATAAAATAAATATTATTAATAATAATTACTGCGATAACATTCAGAAACAATTATTATTATTATTATTATTATTAATAATAATAATAATAATAATAATAATAATAGCATCAATAATAATAATATTATTAATAATAATTACTGCCATAACAACAGGAACAATTATTATTTTTAATTTTAATAATAATAATTACAATAATAATATCAGCAATAATAATAAATATTATTCATAATAATTACTTCCATAACACAAGTACAACAAAAAATCTGCAATATAATCAATCCTGACATGGCATATCGGCTTCAGGCACTTTCTCACCGACGTGACGTGGCTTCCCTCTGTCTTTTCTACAAATATTTTAATGCCTACTGCTCTGGCGATCTTTTTATACTAGTGTCCGGACTATGTGAGTTTAAGCGCTCTACTAGATTGGTATCTAGGTCCCACCCTTTTGCTGTTGAATTAGGTAAATGTAATGGCCACTTCTACTCCAAAAGTTTCTTTTCTCGCACTTCCTGCCTGTGGAACCCCTTGTCGTATTCTTGCTTCCCTGATAACTGCAATATTCAAAAATGTAACTGATACGGCAATCGCCATCTTCTATCTTCTTGAAACCCGTTCAGATTTTATCCTTTCTCCGGTCACCTTTATACCCAGATTTTGAATTATTTTCACTGTAACTCTTTACTCTCTGTAACCTCCTGCGTACTAGTGTCATTCCCGCCTTGCTTGGGGTGAAATAAATTAAAAAAGCAAAAGCAATAACAACAATAACAACAATAATAATAATAATAATAATAATAATAATAATAATAATAATATCAACAAATCCCGTTCTCCCATTTTCCTCAATATGTTTCTTTCTTTTTTTCTTCCTATCTTCTCTACGATGTTGGTCATATTATTATTATTATTATTATTATTATCATCATCATTCGATTTCTGCTATGGACACACTACCTACCAAGTCTGCGGAAAGACCTAAGGCAGGTCGTGGTGTGTTGTTATAATACATTTCATGTTAATTTTTTTTTTTTTTTTTTTTATCTCCGATGAAGTTGCTAGCGTTACATAGACAAAGTTCTCCTTAGTGTGTGTGCTGTACTTAATAAGACAATTTTCTGTATGTCTCTTAAGCTGGGGTTTCAGGATTCTTTCAATGTGTTGTTTTGTTCCATTTTTTATAATTCCAAGTGCACCTATTACCACTGGTATTATTCTTGTTTTCAATTTCCACATTTTTCTATTTCAATTTCCAGGTCTTTGTATTTTGATAGTTTTTCAAATTCCTTGGTTGCTATGTTACAATCCGCTGGACAAGCCATATCAATTAGTAGGCAAGTTTTTTCTTTCTGGTTTTTGACAATAATGTCCGGCCTATTTGCTTCAATTTTTCTGTCTGTGTGGATGGTATAATCCCATAGAATGGTGACATCTTCTATTTCTGTAACCGGCGCTGGCCGATGTTCATACCAGTGTTTGCTTACACATTTTCCAAAGTGTTTGCACATTGTCCAGTGTAAGTATTGCCCCACTTATTATTATTATTATTATTATTATTATTATTATTATTATTATTATTCATTCTATCGTCTTTCAACACGTTTTCTTTTTCTTCCTCTTGTTCTTCTTCTTCTTCTTCCTCCTCCTACTCTCTCTTCTTCTTCCTCCTCCTACTCTCTCTTTTTCTTCATCCTCCTACTCCCTCTTTTTCTTCTTGTATGTTTTGATTTTGAATTATTTTACTATCAATGTTTCTAGTGTCTATTCCTTCGCCTTCTTAATCTTCCCTCCATTCACATTATTATTATTATTGTTGTTGTTGTTGTTGTTTCTATTATTATTATTATTATTATTATTCATGCTTTGTCTTTGCATAGCTGTAAAACAAGTGAATATGTGGTTCCCTGCCGACTGAAATGATCACATCGGAACTTGTTCACAGTGATTCAAAATTGCGTTTCCCGTGACACAGAGACGAAATCGCTTTTCGAAGATTCTGATCAGTTTTTTTATTTTTTTTTTATCAAATTCTCCGTCAAAGACAAAAAGAAAAAGAAAATCTTTCTTTAATGAAATTCAGATTGTCACGTGTTCTTTGATGCGTACCATGCAAAGGAAATAGAATTTAAAAATTCTATTAATGGAAAGCAGATTAAAGTTTTTTTTATCTTTCTTTTTCTTTCTTACCTAATACCATCTTTAACTTGATATTTCTTTAGATAAAATGCAATGCCTGCCTGTCTTCAAGTTTATGACATAAGCGAAAAGAAACGGATTCACTGAAATTGCGCATGTGTCTGTAGGCGCACAATGGCAGATTGTACATTTTAAAATGAAAGTTACGAAATTGAATTTGTCTGTTGCAACCCTATTCCCAAGAGAAGAAAGAACTTTTTCGGTCAGATTATAAATTATATTGTCCCCGTCTGAATTCTTTGCAATATAAAGGCATATTTGGAAAAAATTGGATAGTAAGTATTCTCACAGATATTTGTAAAATTGACATTGTGACCAAAAATATGTTTAAATCTGATATCAAATTTAAATCTCTTTTCACAAATTGCATGTCGTTATAAAGAAAAGTTATTGGAACATATTCTGGTATCACAATTTTTCCACCAATAGAAACGCAGATCTGAAATATTTTTTGTCTTTTTACAGTACTTCCTCGATGATCTAGATAACTTTGGACAGGGGTTGAAAACATGTTAGAATTATTTAAAATTCGGGATAAACTGAATGCCGAGATCAGTGATTCCTGAACAGAGCGGCACGCCTCATAGAAGAGGATAGCAGGTGAGGCGGAAGAGGATAGCAGGTGAGGCGGAAGAGGATAGCAGGTGAGGCGGAAGAGGATAGCAGTTGAGGCGGAAGAGGATAGCAGGGGAGTCGGAAGAGGATAGTAGGTGAGGCGGAAGAGGATAGCAGGTGAAGCGGAAGTGGATAGCAGGTGCGGCAGAAGAGGATAATAGGTGCGGCGGAAGAGGATAGCAGGTGCGGCGGAAGAGGATAGCAGGTGAGGCGGAAGAGGATAGCCAGTGAGGCGGAAGAGGATAGCAGGTGAAGCGGAAGTGGATAGCAGGTGCGGCGGAAGAGGATAGTAGGTGCGGCGGAAGAGGATAGCAGGTGCGGCGGAAGAGGATAGCAGGTGTAGAGGAAGAGGATAGCAGGTGTAGAGGAAGAGGATAGCAGGTGTAGAGGAAGAGGATAGCAGGTGAGGCGGAAGAGGATAGCAGGTTAGGCGGAAGAGGATAGCAGTTGATGCGGAAGAGGATAGCAGGTGAGGCGGAAGAGGATAGCAGGTGAGGCAGAAGAGGATAGCAGGTGAGACGGAAGAGGATAGCAGGTGAGGCATGTGGAGCGGAACAATTGAAAGACAGTCAAAGATTTAGAAACAGTTTTAAAAAAAATCATATGCCAAAAATAATTATGATTACGCGTATTAGAACTATTAGAACAGATTTAGAATGGCTGGAATGGATTAAGGATTGTTAGAACGGATTAAGAATGGTTGGAATGGATTTAGAATGGTTAGAACGGATTTAGAATTTTTAGAACAGATTTAGAATGATTAGAATGGATTTAGGATTTTAGAACGGATTTAGAATGGTTGGAATGGATTTAGAATTTTTAGAACAGATGTAGAATGGTTAGAATGGATTTAGAATTTTAGAACGATATTTGGAAGTTTTACAACAGATTTAAAATTGTAAGAACGTTTTTGTTCAGTTAATTTATTTTAGAATTTTTAGAACAGATTTAGAATGGTGAGAATGGATTTAGAATTATTAGAATGGATTTAGAATTGTTAGAAAGGATTCAGAATTTATAGAACAGATTTAGAATGATTAGAATGGATTTAAAAATGTTATAACGGATTTAGAATAGTTAGAATGGACTTATAATTGTTAAAACGGCTTTAGAATGGTTGGAATGGAGTTAGAAATATTAGAACAGAATTAGAATGGCTGGAAGGGATTTAGAATTTTTAGAACGGATTTAAAATGGGTTGAACGGATTTAGAATTGTTAGAACGGATAGAGAATTGTTTGTACGAATTTCTCATCCGGATAATGTAAGTCTGAAAAATTGTGGTTTGAATAATAACCGAAATGCTCTATCGAATTATTAAAAAATACATATTTGGTTAGGATATTAGAATAATCAAAAATCTCTACTGGCTGTAAACCGTCTTCATACGGATAGAAAATGAGTTCAGCAGGTATACAAAAATAAAAATGGTTGTTCAGCCTATGCAGCGAGGCTATTCTGAAAGAATTAGAAGTCCTACCAGGATTCTTGATTGTCGGCCACAATCTTAACAACATATCATATACAGATGACATAGTGTTGATAGTAAACACAGAATCGAAAGTACATGAACTCCGACAGAAGGCAGTTAAGGAAAGCAAGAAGGGATTAAAAAAATGAATTACAAGAAGACAGAATGCATGGTTGCTAGCAAAAGAGGCTACCCATAATACAAACTACAAATCGGAGATACCAAAATCAAACAAGTACAAAAAAAAATAAATATTTGTTCAAAGTTCTAACAAAGGACGAAAAGTGCAACTCTGAAATCCCAAAACGAATTGGGATAGCCAAACATAGCTTCCAAAAACTAAGCAGATTATTAAGGAACAGAAAAATAACTTCGTTAGAAACAAAGAAAAGAGTTCTATACTGTTATGGGATATTTATCCACCTATTTGTTAGTGAATGCTGGACAATCTCCTCAAAGATGAAGAACTGACTTGAAGCAACAGAAATGTAGTTCTACACAAGGCTTCTAAGGATATTATAAAACGAATTTGTGAGCAACGACGAAGTTTTAGAGAAAATGGAAACAAAAAAGGAACTTATACTTAACATCAAGAAGAGCCTGTTGAAATTTCTGGGACACACAACGAGGAAGGACGGCTTGGAAAATCTGATACTCACAGAACATAATGAAGGCAAGAGGAACAGAGGAAAATAATGCATAACATATCAAGTGAACTTGAGTAAATGGATAACGGAACAGGTTTTAGGAGATATAACAAAAAATATTGTGTTTTAAAGGACGGGAAATCATGGAGAGGCATGAACACGTACCTCATGAGAGAACAAGGCACAGAAAAAGAATCAGCAGAAAGATCTGTTCGGTTACTGACACACCAGTAGTAGATATTGAATTTTGCTAATTGCAACTTTTTTATGCACGGATTGATAGCAAAGGCTGGAAGGAGAAACTTAAGCTCTATAAATTTTTTGCTAGAAAAGCCTAAACAGGAAAAAAATGTCTTCCGGACCTCAGCCTATGATAACGCTATTGAGTTGAAATCTATCATTTGTTTAAAAACATTGCTGCCATTAAAAAAATAAATAATAAAGGTTTATCTTCTGTTTATGTCTCTAAACATTAGCTCCTAAAACTGTTATAGAAGTCTTATATAGCGAAAGAACTATAGGTCATGTGGCAGATTTAAGGTAAACTCATAGGCTGCTCATAAAGTGATACAGTCGATCTTTCAACGAGAATTCACAAGATAAATTAGCTTCTTCGACTACAAGCTATAGAGGAGATGGGCGCTGTTGTTTAGATGAAAAGAACGTAAAACGCTGAAGACGTTAAAAATATCTTAAATATCTTATCTGCGGGGTCAGGTTCTTAGGCTGATGTGATTACAGCCAAAGCATTTGATGAAAAGAGGAAGAGCCTCGTTTTGAAATTATGTGATCGAGGTCAGCTGATTAAGGGGCTTCCGTTTCCCGTTTTATTTTTTTTTTACATGACGATGAAAGGGTTTATTCTATATTTATTTATTATTCTTTCGGAAAATGGCAACACGCATAAGTCTTTTGCTCATAATCAGGAAAAGACAGCTGAAATTCCTTGAACACATAATGAGGAAGGAGGGATTGGAAAACTTAACCGCCACAGGGCATATAGAGGGCAAGAGAGATGGGTGGGGGGAAGCAGTGAGTCACCTACCTGGCGATCTTTTATGAAGGGATGGCGGAACCGTTGGGGAGTCTTAGCAAAATTAGAAAAAATGCTAAGGGCCACAATGAATAGGAAGTTTTGGAGAGCCATGATCGCCCATGTTCTCAAGGAACGCGGTACATAGAAGAAGAATAGTTTTATTTATTTGTTTATTTATTTATTTTTGTAAATGCCACAGTCTGTAGGAACCAAAATCATAAATAAATAAACAGGAACATATCTGACGGAAGCTGTTTACCTCCTTTAAGCATATAGTCACGTGACTAAGGTCACGCGGTATGCACATAAAAATCAGTGCGTTTTCTAAAAGAAAAAAAAAATCTCTCTCTTTTCTCATTTTTTTCTGCTTTCCTAATTTTGCCACAACTGTCAAGCACTAACAAGCATACACACACACACCCGCACTTTACATACAAACAGTCTCTCATATTCATTGTTATTTTCATTATTATATTCATCATTTCCAAATATTGTTATTTTGTGGAAATATATTATTTTAAACAACAAAAAAAAAAAACATGTTTTTTATTTGTTCTTCAATTACATGTAAGAATTTTGATTGCCATTGCTTTTATTTCAGCTAGAAATAATGACCGCAAAAAAATATCCGTATAGAAATTATTTAGGAACCATCAAGATATTTTTATTTAAAATCAGAGCAAAAAATGCTGTAAATAGCGTGATATACCAAAAAAAAAAAGAAAAAAATTGCCCACTTCTCCTATTTTTTTCTGTTTTCCTAATTTTGCCACAACTATGAAGCAATAACAAGCACATCTACACAAACAGACGAACACTCACTTATATTAGTTATTCATTATTATTTTCATTATTTCCAAAAATTGTTATTTTGTGGAAATATATTGTTACGTAAAACAAAAACATGTTGTTTATTTGTTCTTCAATTACATGTAAACAATTTGATTAGCATTGCTTTTATTTCAGCAAGAAATAATAACTACAAAAATATCAATGTATAGATTAATTAGAAAAGATCAATGAGAAATATTTACTTAAAATCACAACAAAAATGCTCTAAATATGATGATATATCTAAAAAGTATAATTTTATGAGATGATAAAAAACAGATTGATGGCGTGAATGATTTGTGCTTTCCGACTTATCAACCTTTTCTAGGCTATTTAAAGCTGGAAAATATTTTTAGATTTAATAATTTTTTTGGAGATAATAATTATTTACTGATACAAATCCTACTAATTAACCCATGTATGGGGGAGAAGAGGTGGATTCCTTCTTTTTTGCGCGTAAGGGAATATAAAAAAAACCCGAGTGGAATTGAAAATCGGCTTTCTGATTTCCAATTCCGTACCGTTATCCATTACCCTCCTCGCACCTCCAAACTTACAGGACGTGGTATTCCCAAGCGGTCACCCAATAAAGGTACCGACCAGACACGATGTTGCTTAACTTCTGTGATATGGCCGTAATTCCCCACCGGCCAAAGAATTAATGAAATGAGTAAAAATTAAAACCAGTATTTTTTTAAACCTAACATCTGAAAGATGACCCCTATCACTAGTATTTTTTTACATCTGAATAAAACCCCAGCACGACTGTTAACATCTGAATTTGCTCCCTATTTTTAACATCTTAATTAGCCCCCCACGACCATGGTAACCATTTTTAACATCTAAATAAGACCTCAGCACGACTGTTAACATCTGAATTTGCTCCCTACTTTTAACACCTCATTTAGCTCCCCACCACCATGGTAACCATTTTTAACATCTGAATAAGACCCCACCACGACTATTAACTTTTGAATTGGCTCCCTACTTTTAACATATTATTTAGCTCCCCACCATCACCACCATGGTAACCATTTTTAACATCTGAATAAGACCACCCCACGACTGTTAACATCTGAATTCACTCCCTACTTTTAACATCTTATTTAGCTTCCCACCATCACCACCATGTTGACTATTTTTAACATCTGAATAAGACTCCACGACGACTGTTAACATCTGAATTCACTCCCTACATTTAACGTCTTATTAACTCCCCAACACCATGGTAACCATTTTTAACATCTGAATAGGACCCCACCACGACTATTAACATCTGAATTTGCTCCCGACATTTAACATCTTATTTAGCTCCCCGCCACTATGGTAACCATTTTTAACATCTGAATAAAACCCCACCACAACTGTTAACATCTGAATTTACTCCCTATTTTTAACATCTTATTTAGCTCCCCACCACCATGGTAACCATTTTTAACATCTGAATAAGACCCCACCAGGACTGTTAACATTTGAATTTACTCCCTATTTTTAACATCTTATTTAGCTCCCCGCCACTATGGTAACTATTTTTAACATCTAAATAACACCTCGCCAGG